TAGCAAAACAAAGGTGTTAAGTGACGTGGACATTGTAAAGTCCGTCCGAATTTTCTTTAAATCTCCAATTCTACATACGACGATAATTTGARCTTCGAAAATTTACTGTTATTAACTTCTTAGCAGTTGCATGCCGAGTATGCATTAAAAATAAATCTTTTTCGTACGTTGGTTCGTACAATGGCGTTTTTCACATATATATACTTAATATAATTGAAATAAATCCAATTGGAGCGAAAACTAATAGACTTGTACAAAAACATATGCGACTTGTACCAATTATGGATTCATTTTCTAATGGGTTACTTTATTTGACTAAGTCTAAGGGTCTAACATCCAAGAAAACTGTTTTGTAAAGTTGAGAACTAATTCGAATTCGGCTGCTTTCTACATGAAATCTGACATTTGCATTCTCGGGGGATTCCAAAACCTAAAGTAACGTATGTATTTGGAAAAGTCACACAGTCGGCGACTAACTAGTTTCTAGTTGTGGAGTTGTTTTTAATATTATTTGATGAAAGAATGTATTTAACGATACATACAAAAATGTATTTCAACATTATTTTCTCTCCTTCATTAAGTATAGCAAACACTTTAAACTTCATTTCATATACGTACATATTAAATCATTATCAATAAAAATTCAAATAATAACAGAAATGCCACAATGCCTTTTTATCTCAATATTACACTTTAGAGTCTAGTATTTCGAAATCTCTCTTTTTATAATTGTACGAAAACATAATTTTTTTTTTTAACTTTTAAAATAATGAATTTTGTATTTGTACAGTTGTTGTTGTTGTAGCAACAAAATTCAATCAGTCTCGCGCGATTGTAAGTGCATTTTTTTTTAAATGTAAACATTTAGCTGCAACAATAGAGGCGCCAAAGCCTTTTTGCGTCATGTCACTGCTTGACACACATTCCGGAAGGAAAATTCCAGTAAAAGCAAACAGTGATTCTTTAAAAACACCAACAAGATGACTAGCAGCAGCAAAAGAATAAACAAACACGCACTCTACTGGGCATTAAATTCACTATTGCATCAGACATTGTAAAGTGCTTATTTCTTTATTATGGAGGCAAATGGGCATTCACTTTAGGCTGCCGAGTTCAAATAAACACTAATTCTATAATTTTGACCAAATACCAATAGAATCATTGACCACTCGAAAAGAAGATTTTGTAAAACGTATTGGTATTAATATTTATTTATTCAACACCGAAATCACCATCAAATACATACATATGAAAAACATTGCACTTACCCCAACATTAATTGACGTGCTGACATGCTGTGCAATACGATTTAGAAATTTTCTGAAAGATGAACGCCTTAAGATACGATTTGTATTTGTGGCCGCGTTGTTGTTGCTCTCATTTCCACCGGAAACTGGTTTACCATTTACTATTTTTTGATCACTAACTTTGCCAACAGCATCTCTTTTTATACTGCCGCTCGCATTAGATTCACGTGTGSCACTTACTACACCACCATTTCCATTTCCACCATTAGTGTCCTTACAAATGGCTTCGTAGCTGCTTAGTGAAACGATACTACCGGCGCGCCCACGTCCCCCACCAACACACGACGATATCGCAGAATTGCTTCCACCAGCACTACTCGCATTGTCTGCAGGCGAGTTGGAAGTTTTGAATTTGCGCGACCACCGGAAGGGATTCCTTGGCATAGAGAAAGCTCGTCTTATTTTCTTGGCGGCATTATTGGCTGCCGTAGTTGGTTGGGATGCAGGCACAATGATCACTTGCGGCGCTGCCGAAGCTTTTGGAAGTTGTACATGTTGGTGTTGCTGTTGTTGTTGTTGCGCGTCATTTGTTACGTCGGAGTTTCTATTATCAGTGGATAYGTTCGTTGATGAAGGCGTAGCGCCCACTTTCCCAGGCGTTTCTTCTTTTGTAACCATCTTCGATGTCAAATTATGAAAACTATGAGTTTTACATAAATGGCTTGCTTTTCTTAAAATTGCACTGCAAATGCGAACAGCATTCCAATTCACGTATTTATGGGAATATTTTTTTGTATTTAATTGACGATATTTTCTATGAATATTATAATTTYTTGCTTTGTTTCGTACTTTTTTGTTTTCACGTTCTCTTCGTCACTACTTTGCTTTTTTTCCACCAACAACTTGGAAACTTTCCGCTTCACGATTTCTCCCCTTTTCTAGTTTCTATTTTTTCTTTTATATTTCGCCTTGCTATGCAACACCCAAACTTCCTTTCATATGCAAATAACGATAGATTAAACACTTATAGAATTATTTATTGCATTTGGCTTTAGAAGTTTTCTAAAGCAAATGTTTTCACGATAATCTGCAAAACTTTTCTGCCCTCAATTCAATATTCAACGAATGGACATTCGCCCACTTTTTAGTGTTCTCGTCAGTCGCGCACCGAAATCCACAATGAAAGCGAAATAAGTGTAACAAAAAGATTACAGCGCCGCCAAAGATTTTGCGGCGGCGTAAGTTGCCAGAYTAATCTATACAATTAAGAGTTGCATTTTTGTTCATGATCAATGAATGAGTATAAATTAATATTATTAGCTTTAATGTTTCCAATCGACATAAACAAAYTTTTTCTCTACTTAATTCAAAGCATTAATTTGAAATGAGTACCGCAACAAACTGAAAAATATATCGATAAATCGTAGAATAAGAAAAAAACAAAACATTTTTAAAAGTAAGGTAACTCTGTGCATTTCTTATTAGATTACATATCGTAGTAGATTCAATATATGCAARTTCTGACGTGTTCGTAACAGTGTTGTTTTTTGTGTATTTACAGTTTCTATTGATTATRAAATTTATGTTAGTAGAGATATTTTTTTAATGTTTCTCTGAAATTCTTATTCCGCATTAAAATTCAAGCAAAAACTCTTTTGTGCCTGTGTCTATATATTTCTCAAGAGATGGGCTTAGAAGGTTGACGAGGTGTAAGTGCTAGTTTCCTTGCATATGCTTTCAATGTATTGTAGTTTCGGTGCTTGTGTCTGCTGGGTAGTTTCAACTTACTACTTTAGAAAACAGTTATTTTTTCTTTTATGTCAACGTTTTCTGAAAATTAATTCAATATTGCATTCCCCTTCGCATAGATCTATGTCGGTTTTATAAATTAATAAAGTAAAGAGTATTATTCTCATTTAGAAATTATTGGTTGAATTTCAAAACATATTACCTTTAATATCAAATAAATTTAATTGTGTTAAAGTTATTTAGAGACAACAACCATATTTAGTTTCTCATAAGAAAAAAAAAAATAATAATAATAAATAAATGCTAAGCACAAAATAGAACTGAAAATCAAATCCAGAAATGGGAAATTAACTAACCCGAGCTATTGAAGTGCAATTAAGATGTCATCTTTAGTATTTGCACACGTAAAAAAGATTTGTCAAAATATAATATTTTTTAGTTATGCTTATATTCGGCAAAACAAAGATAACGTGCGCTAAGCGCTAGCCTTATAAGATCTTCTCACAATCTTAAATATACCTCATTCAGTCCGCAACTGCGAAGCGAAAAGCAGTGTTAATAGAAAGTGATTAAATACTCGTATTTCATTCAAAAGTTGAATTCGTTAATTTGAAAAAGTGATATTCCTCAGTAAAAAGTGAGTTAATATTGTTATATGTTTTTGTCTTTATGTTGGTGGCTCCTAGTGACGTCTTAAGACAGTTTATTATGTGTTACGGTAAACAAACTGTAATTATGCAATKGCGCTTTTTTATCTCTTTGATATTACATTTATAGGAGAATTTAATTTAGTAATCACAATGAAAGACAATTGGAAGGTGTGTAATTATATACATATATAGAATAGTTTTAATTTCATCTGATGTGTCTATACCCCTACTTAGTATGTATGTATGTGTAAAAATAGTTCATAAAGGACTCCTGTCCCAATTGCAATTTTTCCATTCCGTTTTATACTACCTATGTACCTCTAACTGAACAAATGTGATCTACTTTAAATGGCTTGATCTGAGATCTGACCCCAAAAATTTAAGTAAACAAATATTTTTTGYCGCTTTGCACAAAATAATTAATTTAATTGGATGTCACGCACCGATTACCTCCGGATGCCAAAAAATACCCGATTTTTCTAGTATAAGTATGTATGTAGATATGTTGCAATGTGATTAAGTTTCTTAGGCAAAAAGTAAATAAACTTATTAGCGTTTAATTCGAAGACAACAGACTATGGCTAGCCATTTTAAACTGGTTTCATTTCATTACAGAAAACAAAAACTAAACTCTGCTGATAAGAGTGTTCGTCGTAATGTTAAAATCCACTTCGAAACCAGATTAAACTGGATTAGCCAGAAAAGTACGCACTCGTTGGGGCCCCGTCGACTTGTGTAGTCTGTCCGTCCACTTGTGCCGCTCCAGTCGTCAAAATAATGATGTTTCTACAWTTTTTTATTTATTTTTGAATCATGCTCAATATACAAAGGCTATTTTGCTGCATTAATTGATACTGATAACGGTCATCAGCCAAGATGAATCGAGATACATATATGTATGAAGATGTATATGTACATATGTATGTATGTAGGTACGAAGAGCAGATTGTGCCCGCGGTGTACAATTGCACGTTACCTAGCTTATTTTCGTTGGCAGATGTTGTTATTGATTTATTTATATATTTCAAAGTGTAATAGTAACTAACCGGATTGAAGTGGTTAGTCGCYAGAACATGAACTTTCATATAAATATTGAGASTGATCTATTATTAAATATTTAAACAAAAATTATRTAACGAAATTGTTTTGAAAATAACTCAATCAATTCTTTGAAAAAGCGCCTTCCGTTGCCATAAAACTCACTCTCCACCGTTAGATGGTGCGCAAACTAGTATATGAATTCTGTAATAGAGTTTGCAATGCATATTCCAATATTCTGCGATTCAAATTTAAATTTACAATGAATATATTAAGTTGTCCTTGCGTTTAATCAACAAAAGCATATTGATGCTTTTCGTCGATRTTTGCATAAAACACTAATATCAAATTGCTAAAAGTTGAAATGAAATGCCCAATTAACTCCCCAAAGATTTACAAACTAGATAAATCTCATTATTGGATAGTCTGGCAACCCATTCTAATGTTTATTATATTTTTAGTACCAAAAAAGAAATTTTAAGTGCTTCGGTCCCAGTGAGTGTAAACAAGTAAACGTTTTTGTTTATTTAGTTACTGAAGGGGACAATGCGTGAATAAAAGAGCAGTGGCTAAATACGATTGAATGCAATATTARATGACAGTGCACAAAGTTGTAGTTACTTTTCATACAGCTTTATATGCGCTATGTATGTWTGAAGAAATATAAAGTCAAAAATAAAATGATGCTGGAGTAGGCTTTAAATTCTTAAAATAGTAAAGAATATATACATATATATATATACATATATGCATGTATATATAGCCTTGTGTCCAGCTGCTATACATTACATTTACGTTAAAAACGGTCAGGTTAGTACATATGCATAAATAAATATAATTTGGAAAACATTTTAGTCAAAATTGTTTACTCGCACACCGTGCTGTTAAGTGGAGATTTAATTCAATTGTACAAATGGCATCTAGTGATGAAATATAGTATAWTCACGATTTACAGCATTCGGTTTGCGTAGCTAAAAGAGACTTATGTACATATGTATATTCATATCTTATCTATGCATCAAATTAGCTTATCAGGTAAATAAAAAATATCACGAAATCCACAAAGGCAGACTAAATAATAATGAAGCGTTTATATTACACAGTAAATGATGCACATTTAACACACCAATGTTTACTTCATTTCAGTCGCTGTTTTCATTAATAAAAAAACACAATTTTTAAACGCGCACAAAAAACGTAAAATTTAGTCGTATTGCTATTACAAGCKCATTATCATGGATGCTGCACAGACGTATGCAACTGTGCCAAACGGCGGCCGGGGATGGGTTATTGTAGGCGCTGTGGCATTGATAAATGTAAGTATAAAATTTGTGCAATATAAATTTATGATAAATGTGCATTATTTCACTTTTAGATGACAAATCAATATATACACTCTGTTTTCGGTTTGCTATTCGGTGCTAAATTAAAAAGTATGCAGGAGCAAACTTTCACGGCAGCATTAATTTTAAATTTAAGCAGTTTGACATTGAATTTTTCCGGTTTATTTATTGGACCGGCTATAAAAACCTTTAAGCAGCGTAATGTCGCAGCGGCTGGGATTTTGTTTGTTTCGTTTGGTTTGCTGCTTTGTGCATTCGCAACGGAAAGCTGGCACTTTATTGTTGGCTACAGTTTATTTGTGAGTCAAAACTTTATATTTACTAAAAATAAATATTTTATTATTTCGAAATTTATTGAAGGTTGGTCTTGGACTCGGTTTAATAACACCATCCACATTTATGGCTATTAATTCGTACTTTAGCACAAAACGTGGTCGCGCTGTGGGACTGTCTTTAGCCGGTTCTGGGGTCGGTCAGGTGACTGTACCGCATGTAGTACGCTTACTTCTAGATAACTATGGTTTTCGAACCACTGTCTTTGCCATGTCACTATTTTCTTTAATTGGCGTAAGTTTGCTTAATATTTAGTGGTTTTTTTTTATTATTTCTAACAAAATGTTATATTAATTACAGCTAATTGGTGCTGCGTTGCTAAAACCACTAGATCCTCCAATGAGGCACAATAATCGTCAACATGTGCGTCTATTGTTATCAATAGATGATGAGAAAAACAAAACTGCACCACCACAATACAAAGTAAATGAAGTTGAAAACAATAAATTGATGAACAAAGAACCGGCGAATGCAAATGTGAGTGCATCTTCAGAGCATTGCTGTAATAATGTGACCCAGCGATTGGTGCAAGCTATGGATTTAGAATTACTCAGAGATACGACCTTCTGGAGTATTATTGTTGGCATGGGCTTAGTGTACACATCCACCATACARTTCACTATGTTGTTTCCGCATTTCTTGCAGGTTTGTTACAAAGTCCTTATCTTTATATGTGTTTTTTAATCATCTATTTCCTTAGTATTCAGTTGGACTTTCGTCCTTCAATACAGCAACGTGCATGTCTACGGTGGCTGGCGCCGATATTATATGTCGACTTTTATTGCCCTGCATCACTGACAAGTTGAAAATACCCTATCGTCTTGTATTCCTATTGGGAACGGTGGGTTTGCTTATTTCACGTGCAGGTATAGTGCTTGGTTTACTTTATTTCATTGTAGAATAGTAACTTAATAATTTATCATTTCGAATTTAGCCCTTGCCGAATCTATGGATATGACCACAATCATTGTGATGTCAATTTTTACTGGCATGACCAAATCGGCCACAGTGTTGAACAATAATCTAACAATTTCCAGTCATTGTCGACCAGAAAAACTACCAGGTGGCTTGGGTTTGAATATGATCGCCAAAGCTGTGCTGGTTATTACAGTTGGCCAACTGCTTGGTTGGATACGTGATTATACACACTCTTACATACTGTGTTTGCATGCGCAAAATATTTTACTGTTGCTGGTTGTATTGGTTTGGGCTCCAGAGCTTTTCTGCCAGTACCGGAAGAGTCAGARAGCAAGAAAGGCGGCAGCAGCAGAAAGAGAAGAATACAACAAAATGAGCGTATGCTGAACATCTAAAGTTGCCAAAGCACCGGGGATGGACACAGTATTACTTTTATGGTTTTAAAAAAACCATTTTGAATTTAATAATTCATTACTATAAATGCATGTGTGCACCTATTTATATAAGTAAATGAATTAAGGTAAATTAACATTTATTGGAGATTAATGAAGTCTGCGATAACTAGACTTTATATGTGATATTTTACAATATAAAATTATGCCAATGCCCGCAATTCATATAGTATGAATTGCAAGATATTTATAATTATTGTACATATAAGTATGCAAGACTATTTTATATACTTTAACTATAGTATTTTTTAATTAAAAAATATTAATCAGACTTCGAAATTAAAAAAATACATAAATATTGAATTTACTATTATGTTTATGTTTGTTTACATTTACTTACCTTTGGCCATCTGGGGAAGCGGAGTTAACAAACAAAATATTTAATCGAGTGTTAACAAATAATACGGCACATAATTTCGTATACGCTGAAAACACAATAAAACGTCATAGGCATTGTGCATAGAATACTAATTAGTAAAAAAATGTCTACACTCCACGCAGCCAGTCAATGTGTGCTGCAAATAATAGGGACGCATAGTGTAATTGTTGTCGCAATGCATTTTGCAACAATATTTTGTACATTTTGCAATAAGATAAATGACACTATTAATTCAGAGGTTTCACGTAATCAATTGATTTTTATTATATTCAGTTTACATCGGTACGCAGCAAGTAGCAGTTTAATTCAGAAGAAAAATGCAGAATTTCCAAAAAATTAATGTTATAGCATTTGTGGCGGTAAAATTATTATTCTTAATTGACTATAAAACGAGATTTATTAGAGAATATTTCATTTATTTAGTGCTTGCTACTTTTGCAACAACAAAGCTCACAAGCATTGCTGCATGACATTCTCGATATAGTCGATTTACAAAATGTGGACTTGAGAAACTATGAATATTTTCGGAATTTACCATCGCAGAATCCAAAAACAGCCGGACAGGCAAATCTGCTTCTAGAACACTTTCAGAAGAAGAAGGCCGTCTTGGATTACATAGAGCACTTATTTTTAGGCACATCGCCATTCACACGGAAGAGTGAGATACCGTTTAATCCACATTTTGGGCGTGCATGGCGCCCATATTTCGAAAGTCGCTATGGCAAACATGGTGTGAATTTGGTAGATATGTTAGGTCGTGGATACACATTGCAACAACTGAGGCAGCAAGGTGCAATTCCAAACGATTTTGGCACACCGTATTACCCCACGCGCTAAATTAACACTATACAATACAAAAGTATTACTTACTATAATTTAGTTATTTATTTTACACTACGTATTAGTCAAGTACAAAACTTTTTTATTCCGAATTTGTGAAAAGATGTTAAGTTTCATTTAAGTCTCTCATACACGCCGTTTTTGGGTGGAAATATATAGCACATTGTTACCACGTATAAATGCATCGCCATACTTATTTTTGAGCTGCCCATTAACATATTCCTCCGTTTGATCGAGCGCTATATTCATGTAGCCATCCAGGCAGGCCAGAACACCTAMAATAAAGACCGGCAGCTGTGTGAAACCACCAACCTTTGGTGCAGGACAGGATTCAGTTTACTTACCACGGTAATCAACGCCGCTGTTTAGCTTAACCACGACGGGACGCCCGTGTATCTGATTAATGAACTGTGAGAGTGCTTCTTTGCGTGACATATTAAMTTAAATCAATTTTGCAGAAAGATTTTCTTACAAGCAGTATGTACTAACAATAACTAACATTTTGTGCAATTTTGCTATGGAAGGAATATATTATTCACCACGTTTAGTGCTGCCATATTTTGATATAATGCATTTTAATTGCCGCCTTGCCAGGCTGTTTGATATTTACGTTATATTAAAAACATGTTCGAACAAAATGCATGGCCAGTTTGAAAAGATTTATAATTCTAATAAGAAAAAATGAAAATTATTGAATAAAATTTTCGAAGGAAAACGCAGCTTTTWAGGTATAAGGTATATTAAAATATACAAAACTTTGCGTGGTGTATTTTGTCACCCAGTCACACAAATATTACGTTTCTATTTCTGTTTGAATCAGTGGATTGTATTAAGACTACTCCTCAAGTGACTAGTTTGAATTTAAAGAARCACTTTTGATTGCGAGTTATCGATTTGAAAAATATTTAAAGTAATAACTTAATTCGCAAGGGGAATTTTTCATCGAAAAAAGTAGGCAGCGTGGTTACTAATTTTAAGTTTTACCATAAGTTTATTTGTATGTGATTAAAATTCTAAACAAAATTAAATCGGAACAAACTTTTGTCATTAAAATAAATTAATATTATTGTTAAGAACTAAATATCTACGGGTGTTTGTCTAAGTCTATCGACGGTTGACAGCGACATTGACTAATGTATGCCTTCCAGAGGTGTGTAAGTTTTGTATTGGTATAAATCCGGACCGCCATAGCCATAGAGTAGTTTGCCTCGTCCGTTCTCGTCATAGTAAGGATAGCGATATTTGGGACTGTAATGTAAAGAATTTATTTGTTAAATTATTTCAGAAAGACTTTGAGTTTATTATTGTACTTTCTTACCGCTCAAAGTATTGGAAATTCGGAGCGCGCGGTTGCACAGTGGCGGAGCCAAATTGCCAAGTACAARCCATGAAAAACAGCAGCTAAATAATAGAAAAGAAAGTAAGAGGAAGGCAAACATTTTCAAAACTAAGTACAACAAAATTTACTACAACATCATTTAAAAGCATTTTAATTATATATTTGAAGATTAACTCATCTGATAACTCAATTGCTGACTCTAAACCACTTCAGTTGCGAATTTTATGACACTAGGAAATAGTAATTCATMTACATATGTACATATGTATTAGTTTGTGTGTATGTATCTTCATATACATATATAGTCAGCATTATAAGAGTTATGTTTTCGAAACTCTAAAAACCAAAATTAAAGTGCAGTAAACCGTAAGAAAGTAAGGTGGCTGAATTTAAGAGAGAAATCGGGAAAATATGTACACAGATTTTCAGTGTATACTTATATGAATATGATATGTTTATTTTAATTTTGGAAATATTGAAGAAATAATTTTTTGCTATAATTTTTAARGCTCATTTCGAAATGGTGTAATGTCACATATCATTCATGCTCACTTTGCATCATAAATAACAGAAATACAGTTGCGAACATAGAAATAGGAGTGTGCTATTTCTGCAGATTTACTTGCACATAAGTAGATATATTTTTGTTTCATAAACTTAATGCACCGAATTAACATCTGCGATTCTTTGCTGAAACGAAATGAAATCAAATCATTTCAGTAGCGAATGGTATCAAAACACGAAAAATTTATCAAATACGACAATAATGTGCGAAAAAGATCAAGGTCCAAGGGCGTGGTGAAGCTCAACAAATGGTTGCAAAGCCAGGATTGACGCATTGAAAGGTTATACTGAGTGTTTGGTGGGATTGGAAAGGAAYCATACACTATGAGCTGCTCCAGCCTGCTCGAAAGATTGATTCTACATTTTATTGTCAACAACTGATGAGATTGAAGCAAGCAATGGATAAAAATCGRCCAAAACTGATCARCAGAAGGGCTTCGTCTTCCATCACGGCAATGCTAGACCACACACATCTTTGATGACTCGGCAARAAYTTCGAGAKCTTGGTTTGGAAGCTTCTATGCATCCACCATATAACCTCGAACTTGCACCGTCGGACTACCAAGTTCGCTTCAAGAAAAGCCTTTGAAAATTACTTGTCGCAGTTTTTCCCCTAGAAACCAGAAAAGCTTTACACTGATGGAATCATTATAAATATATAAAATCAAAAAAAAAAAAAAAAAAAAAAAAAAAAAAAAAAAAAAAAAAAAAAAAAAAAAAAAAAAATGAAATTTGATTAGAAATACGAAAAGTTTTTTTCGATTCCCTGAGAATGAAAACAAAAAACCAAACAAAACTTTTATTGACCGCTGTCATATATGTTTGTATATATGAAAAAAAAAAAATTCTTAATACATCCTACCAAATACTCTTGGGATTATTTTGAGAAATTGTGAAGAGCTGCGATTTCACTTTCCTTAATTTTTTAATGCTTTCCCAAAGTTTGGATATTATAAGTCCCTTCTTTCAATGAACCTCAATACTATTGAAGCTACCATACAGCTGAAGGCTGTACCTATTTTTATGCCCTCCGCCGTGTGCATAAAAACATTTATGTGCACTTTGCGCTGGCCTAAAAAACTGTCAACCACCTAAGCTTGCGACTGCCATTTAGTGGTTTTGAAATAATTCGTGATACGGCACTTAATGTCGGCTTTACATGGCGCCCCTTCGAGGCGTATCAGAAAATTGGAGAGCGCAAAGCTTCACTTTGCCTTTTCTCTAACAATTGAAATTCCAAACACATCGTAAAGCAACGCCTCAAACAAAAACAGTTTTCGAAAGTGACAATTGGCAGTGGAGGCCRCAGCACGTACCGCGGCGAACTCGTACTTTGCTCACTTACTAACTTTGTTTGCCTGCTGTTGGCATGCGCATAGACGGCGGTGCACTGCCGTGCTGCTGCGTCTCGCTATGGCTATGCCATTTCAAAGTGTGCGCTTACAAACAAGCTYGGTAAGTATGTGCTTTCGGATGTAGAAATTATATCAAAAATTAAAACACATCAGTCCAAGTAAAAGCCGCGAGATTTTTCAATAATTTCTTATTAAAAACACATTAAACGATGTTACGCGTGCATGTTATGTTATGCCTAAGCTATGCTATGCAACAAATGAGCARATCGCTGACCTACATAACGGCCGTCCATTTCGCATCAAACACTTTGCAAGCGCACCTGCTTGCGCCCATTTTAAGGTTAATTGCCACACTTCACACTTACGTGCAAGAAAATTGCCACCAATTTCGCCATTTCTGCTAATTTTCTTTAACGATTTTGAAAACTATGCACCACTTCCGCTTTGTTCGTTGTAATTTCGTTCTTTTCACACGTTTGGTTTCTTCGCGGCCGTAACTCGCTTTGCTGCTTTGGCAGTGTCTTCCTGCACGTCAGGTTGGTTACTAAATTTGTCTCTGTCGTTATGTTGGTTAGTAGTATGAGCCAAGAAGCTAACTGGTTGATTATGCGAAGCTTATTTAGTTTGAGAAGAGATGCATGGAAAATGCGAAGAAAATAAAGAGAAGGTTAAGGTGAGAGCGCAACTCACTAAATAGCTCTTTAAAAGCTACTCGCAAGTGTCAGTTTTAAGCGATCAGCTATACTTGAAATCTCGGCTTTTAATTTTGCTGAAATGCAAGTTGGATATTATGGACCTTTGGCTTCAGGGGGATATGCAATATACAGTCTATGAGGTCTAGTATTTAATTAGGACCAAATGTCTGCTAATAATGAAGAATGACAACCTGTTCAGAATGCTAAAACATAATAACGCAGACTTGACTTTTCTCTAACAATTGAAGTTCCAACTGACCCTGTTCTCAAGATACAAAAAAACTATTTTAGATTTTAACGTGGTGTAATAGGTGGGGAATATTTGAAGGGGCTCGAAAAAATCTGTTAACACTTCAGCTCTACACTGTGAGAGTTAACCTCAAAAGTATTTTTAAGCCCACTGCAAAGTTCAACTGTKTGAATATAAATATGCAAGAGTTCTTACTGAGAACACAAGATAACACAATAGACAGTAACAAGTAAARTTATCAAGTAAATCTTCAGCAGCTTTTTCTCTAACATTTTGCGATCATCTGCATGAGAGAAATGAAAGTGAAAGTGCAACTCTCTTGTATTTAAAAAGTATGAGTATTGCGCATATGGCCATGGCCCGAAATCAGGAGCGCCCACTCTCATATAATACATCTTTTCACTTACACCGAGGTCATATTATGAATTTTGCAATCAACTCAATGTGAATGTAAAATGATCTACATATCGATGTATGTATGCCAAACAGAGCGAAATCGAGAGAGTCAATTGCAAGCTAGGGAATTTCAAAAATGCTATTAATCGAAACGTGCAGAAAATCAGGTTTTTACATCGAAGCCCTTTTGGAAAAAGAGGCCAGCAAGAGACTCCAAGTTAAGGCTTGAGGCGCGTATTCAAGCACGAAAATAAAAACAATAAAATTTTTGCATATACCAGTGGTGGTAGCAATGTAAGAGAGTGTAAGACGTTGGTACTTTTGTGTGTTGAAAATCGAATAAAAAGATTGCATGCATCCACTGCCATGTATTATGCAATCGACAGAGCAAAGTGACCAGATTCAGGCGATTTTTCTTTATTTTGTTGAAATATTTGTCTGCTGTGAGCTTGGTGACAACATTGGGACTAGATTTGCGTGTCTGAAGGTAAATAGACTGTGGTTTATGTTWGAAAATAGACAAATAGCAGAAAATATAGCTTTCTTCCCAAGCAAGCGTGACGTTTACCGTTTATACTGCTATTGAAGTACAGTTTCACTTTGTTTTAACAGCAAAATACTCCYCAAAAAATGAAAAAATAATTGTTTTGGAAAACCGGATGAGAGTGTCCCCGATAGCTTCTACTCTGGGCCATAAAAGAAAGGTGTTGGATGAACGGTTTAGGAAAATGATTTTGAGCAATGCTTGGAGCAGTTCAAATGGAATAATTCCAAAGTTCGATCGTCGAAATTCAAATCGACAATGGATGCAACATGAAACCATCGTTTTACTGCAACGTCCAATCGAGGTCATTTGAGTGGACTACTCGCTGTGAACAAAAAAAATAAAAAAAAAACATGGAGAGTGCAACATTTAGCTAGCAAAGTTGAGATTTATCGTTTTGGGGTGTATAATGAATAATTCTCARAGTTTAGTTAAAATTCATGATAAGTATGAAATATTCAGCTTAACTTCAGCTATTTAGAGCGTTAGTACTACTCGAAAGATTATTAATTACGGATCAAAATTGACCCGGACTGACAAAAGGCTTTATTGTCGCCTTCAAAACAGGCTTCTGAGCCAATAAACGCAATTTTTGTTTAAACTTCTTATAAGACTCTACTGGGAAGGTCTTCAGTGAATTTTTGTTTCCCCAACATATTCAAAAAATGAGGCCTTATTATCAAGTTTGGGTCTTTTGTTAGGAGTTTAGTATTGATACACTTCACTGTCAAAAGATGATTCAAACTGTGTTGATTTAATCCATAGGCAATGTTGGGATCCATAGCTGAGATCTGTGTTGCCTATATGATGATTTTCAAGCACTGTTTYTTTAASTTTTTCAATGTTACTGTCATTAACAAATCTGGATGAACGACTCGGATGAGACAAGCTTTCGATGACTTCAAGACCTGAACTGAATGGAGTAGACCACAGTGACAGCACTCTGTAATATAATCAATGATTCAGTAGCCGTGGTTTCAATGGACTAGTCCGGGTCATTTTTGATCAGATGTTATTTTGAAATACAAATACTTAAAAAAAAGCTCTTGGTATATAATGGAGTTTATCTAAAAAAATAGCTACTTATCGTCGATACAAAGGTACAGGTATACAAAGTCAAGGTAGTCCTAATAGATTTTTTTATAAATTTTTATTTTTATTTYAAGCAATTTTGATAATCAGACTTGTGCCACAGTTTGCTGCTTATACAGAATTGTAGACCGCTCATTAAAAGCCCGCTGCCTGCCGTTTACAATTAATATGAAAACGTTGGAGCTTGACAACTACAATCTCAACAATAAAAATATTTTTACAAGTGCTTATGTGCGCTGTCAGGGTTTCCATTAGACTTGCGTAAATGCTATGCTAGGACGCACGTTGCCCATCAGCGGGTCAAAACCTAAAGTGTAGCAAGTCAGCGTCTAAGCCCTTGCTGTTATTTTAGACACATGTAGGTAAGTCTATTAACTTTTTTTTATGAGCCCGATCGTTTGAACTCGAAAATATATGCTTAAGCATGCATATAAATATAAAGACTTTAAAGCTACAACAACAGTCATAAAATGCCTTTGTTTTCGTCAATGAAAATTTTGATTAAAATAAAAGTAAAAATATGGTTTGAGTTTAACCCAAATAGGAAGAGCTTAACAGGAACTGATTCAAGACTAAATGCTTCCGAATGGGAATTTATTTCTCTTGATCGGTATTCAAGTTGTTATAAGTCAGTGAGTAAGTCCACAATGGTCATCACTTTCTTTTAAAATAGTCAATGGAGAGCGCATAAGCGTTTCAGCCCATTAGGCAAATGTGTAAATAAGCTAAATAAATAAACAAGTTTGGCTTTGTGGCTTCAATATGAGTTGCTGCGCTCAAAATTGATCTGTGCATGTGTAACAGGTGCATTGCCGCGCCTTATCTAAAGTCCAGTTTTACAAAAGATATTCAATGAGCAATATTTATACCCCTGAAGGCATTTGTGTTTCATTTGAAAAAAAATAAAAAAATTCTCTGGAAGGTGATTACTCCATGTGCGTCGGCCAACAAACAAGTATAAAATTATTTTCTTCAAAATTTTTTAAGTCTCATACGCCACCGCCTTTGGTCACAATGTCTGTTGGGTATAATACAAAATACTTTTAACACATGTAATTATGTATGGCTACATGTGTGTGTATGTAATAGACGTTATCTTCTCACTTTTCGCTCGAAATTCGATTTTCGCACAAATACGCCACAAGCGTTGTTTCTTATTCAATCTTCATATGCTCAAAATAYAGTTACATATCTACAGCTCCACTCTTCCATATGAGCGCAAATGTTTGCTGAAGTCGAAGTTGGTTGAATGCATTRCTTATTAGTTGCTGATTGGTGTTAGCGTGGATTGGAGTTTTGACATATCAAATTGCGAAAATTGCTTTAACTTTTTTAATTTWTTCTTTTTGTGAATTAAAATTGTGCTGAAATGTTAATAGATTGGTGCAAATATGTGCTTGTAAGTTTTGTTGCTGGTTTTCTTACTTACTCCTGATAGTAAAATATGCGCTGTGAAGCAAAATAATTGCACATAATATGAACTAAAGGCATTCGAACATTAATTAAATGASAAWCAAAAGACTTAAGCGACAAACTGGATTTTTGTGTTTTTTTACTTATCTATAAGGAGATTTTGTGTTTTTTTTTATAAATTAAGCAGCACCTAACAACCTTTGCAGCAAAGAGTTCTACGATGCTAAATGAAAGCACTTTTTATTCCAATTAATCTGCCTATTTGTGTTTTAAAAAGCTTATCTTTTGGCGAAGTGATAATTCGTCCAAAGTGGTGTATATATGTATGTACAGAAGTGTACTTCTCACCAGCAGAAGTTCATTCATTTCATTGTCGCAAATTTTCTCAGTGTTGCTGTGACTGATACTCTATATGGTTACGAAAAGTGGTGGCAACGTTTGAAACTGAATTTGAGTTCATGAATTTACTACTCTTACTCCCGTGAAATATTGATTTTGTGATTGTTGCATTTTGAAATTTTCCAAATCCATATTTTACTCGAAACGAAATTTTGACCAATAATTACTCCATAGTTCGATTGCATTATATTATAATTTGGCGACATTAGACGACAATTTTCCATTCCGTGAGGAGTTGCCTAATTTCT